GTGCTGATTGCCATAGTTAGGTATTTTCTTTAACATCATTATGTTTGATATACTATTTTTAAGCCTGGAAACTTCCTTTTAAAATATTCACTGGTTATTTAGTAGTTTGTATTGTTTCTTGGAGAACAATTTAAAAATTCATAGTCTATGTCTATTTTTTGAAAAAGTGAAATAATTTTAATAAAGAAAATTGCATTTTTATGGTGTTTGGAGGAAAGATAGGCTTTTTTTTCTTTCATTAAAGTTGTTTTTAGAATTCTTTTTTGTTTATTGGGTGGAGTGCTTTTCTTTATTTTATGCCTAAATCTTTTGAGCTAAATGATGATGTTTAAAGTATGTTTCTTATTGTACAATATTCTTTACAATGAACGCATTAAAAACAAAATGTGGAATTCTAATTTAGAAATCAAGATTGCTCTAACTTATAGATAAAATTGGGTTCCAAAAATAGTTTTTTGTGAGCCAAGTTTTTTGGGACTTGAAATGTATTTTATCAGGGTATGTTTCAAGAATAAGGAGACACATGGAGGAGGAAAGTGAAATAGTCACATAGGAAATTAAAGAAGGGTTAATTTTTACTGCGTTGGGGGTGCAGAACTGGCTCTCAGCATAATTCTGATACAAGGGTTTATGTTGACCTGTATGGGCATCTGTTTCCTCCTGTGTACTCTTTGTTAGTTCTGACCTATACCTTCCAGAACTCTTTGGATTACCAAATGTTAAAATAGGGTAATTCCATGCTTGCCTTCTCAATCCTCCATCCTTCCTCATATGCCATCAGCCAGATGCAGAAGTAGGAGACTAGCAGGATAATCTTTCAATTAGAATATTTTGCCATTTCCTCACTTGTCATTTCTAGAATCCTCAAGATGGTTTTAGCCGACTGAAACGATGGATTATGATTGGTGATCATCACCAGTTGCCTCCAGTCATTAAGAACATGGCCTTTCAGAAGTATTCCAACATGGAGCAGTCTCTCTTCACTCGCTTCGTCCGGATTGGAGTTCCTACCGTGGACCTCGATGCCCAAGGAAGAGCCCGAGCAAGGTAGGGGGTTATTCTAGATTCAGGGTGCCAGCTCGGTAGTACGGGTATTTGATGGCATCTTCTGTATACACTCTCAGCCCTTCCTGCTGTCCAGGAACTGACCCTCTCGGGATCTGACCACACCTTTATTGCCTTGGCATGGGGTGTGAATTTTTTCCACTGTCCTCCTTTTTTTTATGCCCCCCAAAGATAACGCAGTTAATACCTTTTTGAAATATAAAGCAAAAAAATGAACAAGAGGAGAACACCAATTTTTGCTTCATAAAGTGTACAGGCCCCATCTCATAGTTAACCTCAAAATTTTTCTGAATTGATGGATTTCCCCCCTGCTTTTTGATTTGAAGATAGCATGTCCTCAGAAAGCACTTTGGAGCTGTCACTTCTGTATGTCGTCTGCCCTCTGATTTGGTTAGTTGAAGTAGGGAAGCAAAGGATGAAAAAGCATTACTGCTAGAGAGAGGAGCACAAAGTGGGGAGCATGAGAATTAAGAGGAAGAACCCGGTTCCTTAGAAACACCCTGTCTATGTGAAAGGGATTTTACCTTGTTAATATTTCCTGTTTGGGGGGCTTTGTCTTTGAAAAGCTTGTGCAACCTGTACAACTGGCGATACAAGAAACTCGGCAACTTACCCCATGTGCAGCTCTTGCCGGAGTTCAGTACAGCAAATGCCGGCTTGCTGTATGACTTCCAGCTCATCAATGTGGAAGATTTTCAGGGAGTGGGAGAGTCTGAGCCTAATCCTTACTTTTACCAGGTAAGAAAAAAACATAGGACTTTTAAGTTTATTTTGCATTTGGCAGGTAGAACTACTACCTAAATCAGTGAGTGATACGAGCCATGTGGCCAGTCATTACATGAAGGAAAGTTAGATCCTCTCCTTACACACAGCACAAAAAATTTAATTTCAAATGGAGTAAAGATACATACACAAAGGGGAACTATTAGAAAACTTTCTAGAAAGAAAATATTGATGAATATATAATGTTGGGGTGAGAAAGAGCTTATTAAGCTTGTTACACAGAAACAAAAATCATAAAGAAAAATACTGGTTTGAGAAAAAAAATTTTTCAACATTTAACAAACAACATGTTGAAATCTGCATTTAGATAGAAATCTTACAGTTTTTGCTTTTTAAAAAAAAATCAGCTCCCCCAACAGAAAAAATGCAATAAAGATAAGAATATGCAATTCTCACACACTCACAAATATAGATTTATAGTAAGTACAAATCGCTGGCACAAATTTTAACCTCTGGTATTATTTGTTGGTGTAGGTTTGGGGAAATTTGAAACTCATGCAAAGCTAGTAGGAAAGAAATTTGGTAGGCATATTGTCGGTATGTATTAAAAGCACAATGTTCTCACTTCTAGTAATTCTTCCTTAAAAAATTAGATGAGTTTACAAAGGATTTATATACTAAAATGTTTCTTTTATCTTTTTCATTTACTACAAATTATTTTGCAAATTAGAAACAACCTGAATGTCTTATCAGCAGGGATTAATTATATTGTTACCTATTCCATATAATGAAATACTGAATTGCCACTAAGAATGACAACATTAGCCCTAGCCGTTTGGCTCAGTGGATAGAGCGTCGCCCAGTGGGCTGAAGTGTCCCGGGTTTGATTCCGGTCAAGGGCATATACAACGATTGCAGGCTCGATCCCCAGTGGGGGGTGAGTAGGAGGCAGCCTATCAGTGATTCTCTCTCGTTGATGTTTCCATCTCCCTCTCCCTCTCCCTTCCTCTCTGAAATTAATAAAAATATATTAAAAAATAAAAAGAATGACAACATTATAACCTGGTTTGCTGACAGGAAAAATGTTTATGCTGTATTAAATGGGGGGGAAAAATCAAGTTGTAAGTATATCTGTAGTGTTCCATTTTATTTATAAAAAGGAACAGAAAAACAAATATATAGAAATATATATTGGTAATTGGTATGAAAAGGCCTGGCAGCATTTACACCAAAAGATATCTTTTACCCATATTAGAGCTGATGCTTAAATAAATGTAGTTTGCTGTTGATAAGATTTACAAGTCATGCAGCTTTTTTTCTCTGCTGTCTTCCAAAGAACCAGAAGATTTGAGAGATAACAAGCTGTGCGAGTGTCATGAGTGTCACAGAGTATAAATGGCTTTTTTGAAGGTCTTTCTTTAATTTTCCTGTTGCCTTGACACACAATGCAGCTGCTTATCTTTTTTAAAATTTATTTATTTGCTATACTTCTTTCTCCTTTTACATTCTTCTCTCATCTCTTACTCCTTCCATCAGCCTCTCTGACCTGCACTAAGCAGCCTATCTGTGCTTCCTGACTTTCAGGCTCAGGGGATTCCTTTCCTCCAACTTTGACCACTCTCTAAAGTCAGCCAGACAGACTAATTTGAGGCCACATCCTCTTCCCACCCAAAGTAGAGGTGGCAGCCATCATAAGAGAACAAACACAAAACACAAAAATACTGTGAAGTCTGAAGAAGGAAGAACATAGTGTAAAACTTGAAGGTTGACTACAGTACTGCTGGATGTTTGTGTTATTAGACTGAATCTGATACTGGCTTCTAAGCCATTGCCTCGCCCCTTTATGGTTAATGTTTCTTTCCATAGCCATTCATTGTTCCAGTGCCCTGCAGCAGAACATTATCCATCTGCATTGTGATTGTTGTGATCCCAAAAATATTAAGTCTTTAAGTTGGTGACTTTTATTTTATGGTGTTTATTACAAATATATTGCAAATGTCAAAGGGTAATACTTAAAATATTCTACATTTATTTATCAATGTTACTCTAGAGTAATGTTACTCATCAGTTTCAGGTAAGGTGTTCATTTGTCCAAATTATTAACTTTTCACTGCTAATGTGTTAGTTGTGCTAGTTGATTAACTATATAAAATTGAAAGAAAAGTCAATAAATACACAATCTGATTATATTTGCCTTGCAGAATCTTGGAGAGGCAGAATATGTAGTGGCCCTCTTTATGTATATGTGTTTACTTGGTTACCCTGCTGACAAGATCAGTATTCTAACAACGTATAATGGGCAAAAGCATCTTATTCGTGACATTATCAATAGACGATGTGGGAACAATCCATTGATTGGAAGACCAAATAAGGTAATTTTATGAATATTTTTATATATATATATTCTCTTATTTATGATATTGGTAAGATGGAAATATTTGTATTTATTATGAGTTCTTTATATTGTCCCACTTCTTCTCTTTGCTATCTCCTTTTAAGATATGTGAGAAAATGCTGTCATAGAAACTATAAGTAATTCTCTGACAAACTTATCTGTCAGTGTTGTTGGTTTGCTTTGAACTTCTGTCTTAACTACCACACTGAAAATTTTTGTAATCAGAAATAAATGTTTATAACATTTTTATTGGCAAAATGATACAAATAAAATTAGATGGGAATTGTATTACTTTTTGTTTTGTTTGCAAAAGTATAATTTGTTCTCTCTTTTTGTGTGTATATAGGGGAGTTTTTGTTTTTTTTTCCTTGAAGATTAAGAATTGTGAAGTGCCTCCAGACCTAAGATTGTTTTTTTAAAGGTGTTTTTGTTTTTGTTTTTTAATGTGTAACATAGGCACAATTACTTAAAGTTAATAAGTTTTATATAAGGAATTTCACATGTGATTCTTTCTACTGCCTTAGTTCCTCCTGAGTTTGAGTCTTAATCCTTTTAAAAATAATTCTTGCTCAATCCATAGTTTTCACATCAGTTAGTCTTATATAACAGGAACATTGGATGATCATGTGATCACATCAAATTGTCTGTCACTAGCAACCCAGAAGGATTAGCTACACAAAACATCTGCAAGACTCCTGAGATTTCAGACAGCTGTTGGAAAATCTCACTGATGGCTATTACAAAATCACATATAACTTGTGTTTTATTTATATTGGACAGAGCTGATCTAGGCAACAGAAATAAGTAAGGGCCCATAAAATGTTCCCAATAGGCCAAATGTTAGCAATATAGCAGAAAGAAAACCTAATGGGAAAAATATTTTGTGGTCATGTTCACAGCAAATGAGATGTGGGCAATAATATAAAAAAATAAACAAATACGCTTGATTTTGTCAATAAAATGTTGAAAATTGAAAAGAATAACCAAACAAATGTATTAGTAATGATGAGGTTATGACTTTAGTTGTGAATATGGCTGTATAAAAGCTCTTTCATCTTTCCTTGGAAATAATTCAAAAGTAAGAGGAAAATGGGGAGAAGACAAACTCCATTTTTAGTGAGATAACCCAGAAAGGAGTGACTAAAATCTTGAAGGAAATAGGGGAAAAAGGGAACTTAGGGGACTGGTCTTGGAAGTGCCTGCAGGTGTGCACTTCATGAAGGTGAGTGACATGCTCTGAAGTATAAGAGCCACATTCCTGTTTCTGAACAGTGGATTCAGAAATTGGAGTGAGCAGATACCTTCCTGGTCCCCAGATTGGTTCAAAGAAACCTCTAGGTGAGCTGTATGTGCCATAGCTTTATTTGCAAATAGACTGGCTCTATAGTAGCAGAAGAAAAGAGAACCTTCTATTGTGAAAAAAAATCCAACCTTTAGAACACAGTCCTGCTCACCCAACCCTAATCACTCGTATAGTAAGTGGATAAGGAATCCACTTTACTGAGTGGTAAAATAGTGAGGATGAGGAGACTAGCACAAGCTCAGTTTATACAGGAAAGAAAATCAGGTAAAGAGCATCAAAACATACTAATTGACAATATACATGTTCCAGAAAAAAACATGTTGCCCTGGGACAGATGAAATTTTGAATACACATTTAGCTTTGAATTTTAAAGTACTTTAATGAAGTAACCATATCTGAGAAGGAGGGCTATAAAGTAGAAAATTAAAGAACTCAGCAAGAGATAAAATATGGAATGGAAGAAAATAAAACAAAATTATAGAAATGAAGATAAGATTGAAAGGACTATGGTGAGGCATAGACACTCCATAAGGGGTACAGACAGTGAAAATTGAGAAGCTAATAACTTTGAGATGTAGAAAGTTTAGAAATAGAAGAAACTCAATATCTGAGTTCTTTTATTATAAATAACAGAAAAACTTAATTCAAATAATAAAGACAGTTACTCCTTCCCTTAGCAAGATGAAAGTAGCATGGCTCCAGGTTAGAGGGACTTGGTGATGAAGTCAGAGACCAAGTTTCATTTCATCCTCTTGTCAGCCCTTCTCATTTGAGATAAGCTCTCCACATGGACAGGGTGGAGCAGAATTTTCTAATGTAACACCCACACACAAGAGCAAAGCACTTGAATTCAGAATATATGAACGTCTGTAAAAGTCACTGTTAAATGAAGACAACCCAATACCAAATTGGCAAATGTAGTGAACAGGTATTTCACACAAGAAGACCTATGAATGGCAAATAAGCATGTGAAACAGTGTTTATCATCATTTGTTGTCAGGGAAATGCAAATTGAACTTATAGTGGTATACCACTATACACGCTGTGGAATGCTAAAATTATAAAGATTGACATATACAAAGTGTGGGCAAAGATGTGGAGCGATAGGAATTCTGGAACTGGAATATTGCTGATGAATGTATAAAGTGGTACCGCAACTTTAGAAACAGGTTGACAGTTTCTTATAAAGTTACACATGCACCCTTCTACACAGCTCAGCAATTTCACTCTGAGCTTTTATCCAACAGCAGTGAAAACATGGCACAAAAATATTTATATAAGAATGTTCATTGCAGTTTTATTCAAAATAGCCCAAAACTAGAGGCAACGCAAATGCCATGAACAAGTGAGTAGATAAACAGATTGTGGTATGTGCATTCAGTAGAATAGTAATGATGTAAAAAAAAGTATGAACTTTAATGTACACAACACATGGATGAGTCTCAGAAACATATGCTGAGTAAAAGAACTTAAAAAGAAAGTACATAGTGATTCCATTTTTATGGAATTTTCGAATTGGTTACGACAAAATCTGTAGTGATAGAAAACAACTCAGTGGTTTCCTGGGGTGGGGAATACAGATTTGACAGAAAGGAGCCTGAGGTCTTGGAAAATTTGGTTGTAGTAGTGGTTTAAGGGAATATACTGTATATTGTCAGGATGCATCAAATTGCACACTTGAGTACATTTTACTGTATGTCAGTTATACCTCTGTGAAGCTGACTTCAAAAGAAATGTTAACTTCCAAAGGTAGGACCATGATTGTAATTTTTGCAGGATAAGCATTTAGGCTTTTTGTTAGACTGAAACCTCCCTGAATTTTCTTACTTGTACATTTCTTTTCAAACTGGATAATAAGTACTATGAATATTATTTGTTTGTTTTTTGATAGAGGAATGCTATAGAACTAGGAATGTGTTAAATGATAAGTGAGCAAGCTAAGTTATATTGCAGGGCATCAAACCAGGATACCAGATAATGAGTTAAACACAGTGCCTGCTTTCATGGAATTGAGTAGGTTAGTAGGGGAAGACTGTGAATTCAACAGATGTTATTCAGCTCAGCAGAGGTAAAGATGAGTAACATAGGGGCATAGCCATCTGGTTACCGTGGTTTATTTCAAATAGTTCACGTTCATTAATTTGTCTTTTGAATGGCAATTATATGGTCATGTTTATTATGGATTGATTATTTCAAGTATGCCATACTTACCATTTTTTTTCTTTCTAGGTGACAACTGTTGACAGATTTCAAGGTCAACAGAATGATTATATTCTCCTTTCTCTAGTACGAACCAGGGCAGTGGGCCATCTGAGGTGCGTAAGGAAAAACTATTATAATGCCATTGAACTTTACTGTCTGCGTCAGTTTTAAATTTCTGTGGCTAAGTAGTTTGACTTTTTAAAAATTTAAAGTACAATTAATTGTTATGGCAGCTTTTGGTGTTGTATGTTGGAGTGTAAGAATGGATCTGTCAGAAATTAAAAGAAGTAAAGTGGTACGAGCTGTCTCTTCAGAATGACTTTTTCATTGCACAGGATCTCTGGTGTTTCCACACAGTCTGTCAGCTTCAGTGTTAGAGGATAAAGGAACCATTTGTTCTCTCAGGATTAAGAATTGTCAAAACAAACAATAATCTATTTTTGTCACTTATTGTAAGGTACTTATGCACTAGAGATTTATGGGAATAATGTCTTCTGAATACAAAGCAGCCGTTTAGTTTTATATAAACCTTCATCTCATATGACTTAATTGCAAAACTATATGAAGAGTTCATTTTTATTATTTTATTTGGTGGATATAAAAAGAAAATTCTTCAGGCTCTCATAGTGTAATCAGTAAGTCAAGCTCTGTTTGGAGCTCAGCCTAGTGCCCAGGTTCCATTTGACTGATAATTTTATGTAAGAGTAAGCAAAGAAATTGTTTGAAGACTGTAGTGTTCTAAAATATAGTTTATTTTTGTTTATTTCTTTGTCAAGCAAGTATTTGGAGACTAGGTTTTCTAAAAAGCGGTTTCTTTTCCGCAATGAGAATTATAACTAGCTGCTGTTTGAATGGGGCATCATTACAATTATATAATTAAATCACGCAAAAACTCACAGTGTAAGCGCATGAGCACTGCTTCCTCCTCTCCCCACCTTTTTTTCTTACTCTGTAATGCTTTGTCTTTTCCGGATTCCCATGACTTTAGCTCTCTGCTATTTTTTGCCTGACTTTTCTGGAAACTTAAAAAAAAAAAATAGATAATGATGGTAAAATACTTATCATAAATGAAAGGTTAAAAAAGAGCATTGTCTAATATCAAGATTCTCTAAGCAAAAATACCATTATTCATGTAATCAATCTTCTTTGTATTTGTCAAAATTTGCTCTTGAACGTCCAGTTTCTTCATTAAAATTCCTAGTGATGGTTCAGGTGTTGTTAGGTTATACAGGGGAAATGTTCATTTAAGTATTATTTATGCTTCCAATTACGTAAATTTTGTAGTTATCTTAGCTAGAATTTTACCAAACCTTGCTTGGATATTTTGGTTCACAGAGATAATCTTTCATATCTTTCTTTTTCTAATATTTTATTTTTTAAGTGTCGAGAGATAAAGGAAACCTACTTCCTTCTTATTTCTCTTTTAAATAATAGCTTTATTGAGATATAGTTCATATACTGTACAGTTCACATATTTTAAGTGTACAAGCCTGTGATTTTTAGTGTATTAATGGAGTTTTGCAGCTGTCTTCCCCATCAGTTAAGGTCATTTTCATCACTCCAACAAGAAACCCTGTACTTACCAACAGTCACTCCCTTCTTTCCCCAGGTCCGTGGCGACCACTATTCTCCTTTCTGTCCTAGATTTACCTATTCTAGGCACTTGGTTTAAATGGAATCGCTTGGCATAATGTGTTCAAGGTTCATTCCTGTTGTATCATGTATGAATATCCATTCCTTTTTATTGTTAAATAACATTCCATTGTGTGAATATATCACATTTCATTTATCATTTATTAGTTGATTGATATTTGGGGATTTTCCACTTTGTGGCCATTATGAATAATGCTTTACGAACATTCATGTATCAGCTTCTGTGTGGACATGTTTTCCTTTCTCTAGGATGTATGTCATGTGTAACTCTGTGGTTAACCCTTTCTGTTTTCCAGTGCCTGTCATATTTCCTTTGCCCACATCTTTTTCATCCAGGGTAGACTCATTAGGAGATGGTGTAAGAGCCAATTATTCTGCTTTAGTTCCAGAAACCTGTCTTAGGGACACTCTGGGCCTGTTCAGAAGCCAGAGTAGTGAGACATTTCTAGTCCCTTTCCCAACATTTGTTGTTCTTGTTCACTCACCTGATTTCAATAGCCCAGGTACTAATAGAAATGCTGGGGACTTGCTCAGTGCAAAGCAGTGTGTTGTCCTCATAATAAGGTAAGGGTCTGTCAGAACGAAGGCCTGTGGTTGAACAATGTTCCTGACCAGCCGTGTTCTGGGGCTGAAAGCAGGTGGTGATCTCATTGCCCTGAGTTTAAGATACAGCCTCAGGGAACCCTGTCTGCTCTCTTACTCTTCTGACTGGTAGTTTGCCATGCTCACAGTGTTCAGACTCATTATGGATCCTTTCAAGTCAGTCTATTACTTAGCA